TCAAGTGTCTTTATGGAATTGGACAAAGCATAGGCGATGACATCGTCTTAGTCAAATCAGTAATCATGACGTCGTTCAAATTTTTAGGGGCCACTAAAAAAAACCCAATCCACTCCCTTGGGCCTCAAATATTAAGTGGCTCTAAAAAAAGCCTCAAAAGCCCAAAAAGCCCCCAAATAAAAACCATCAAATACCTATTTCCTTATCATCATCTTCAATTCTTGGTCTTCTAATCTTCTCGGCTTCTTCAAGACTTCAACAGACAACATAAATGATAAAGTCGACCTAACACTCCGTAAAAGGCTTGATACGAGAAAATCAGATCAAGCAAGAAATGGTAGGTACATTGTCAATTCCTATCAATACGGGGATCATTTTGAAATATTTTGGTCGAAAGGAAAGATTGACCTAATGATAGCAACATAATGTAAATATTACTTTTCTTCTCTAATTGTAACTAGAGAGTATAGATTCTTCGGCCTGATAAGTCTATCCTCATTTAATTTCTCATCCACCCCACTTTTCCATTGCACTTTCTGTTGTATATTCATATTATTTTTTCGTTTTTTATTTTGAAAGAATGTGAACTTTTAGAGTTGCTGTGAAAATGACATAATTTGAAGTTTAAGTATATAAAACAGAATTTGGAGCAATGTGTTCTTTTGTAAAGTGTAAACTCTCTGTTTTATTGATTTCACTGAACATTTCGAGGAAGCCAGTTCTTACATTCCTATACTCTGATCCATGTCGGTTGCTTTCTTTTATCCTTCTGATGTATAGTTGATCCAATGTAACGATAGATAATAGGGTATAACAACATCAGTTTCCCAAGTTTCTTTCTTCAATTTCATTTTTGAGGTTTCTTTTAGTAATGAAATTTTGCCGAAAAACCAGTTTACAAAGTTTTTTTGTCTGCTGTAATAGAGGGGCCTCATAATAATTAATCACTTAGGACCTCTAAATTCTCAGGGCCGGCCTTGATCCAACCTCATAAATTAATAATGTCAAAGGACAACTTCAAAGGAAGTTCTTTTTTTTTCTATTTAA